CAGCCAAACCAAAGGTTTTAAAAATCTCTTTAGATACACACTATGTTAAATAGAAAAGCTGTCTCATTTCTTCTTCTGTTTTACCCCTTCTGAAAGTCAAGCAGTTCACAGAAGATCTAACCGATGTCCTCCTGAATGAAATTTTAAATATCCATTTATTTTTGCTCCGAACCTCAGTTTTTCTGTGGAAGTTAGCATGGCTTTAGCTTCATTCACATAACCTTGCGAAGGAAAATATGTGATATTAAGGGTGGTATATCAGCTTGTACTTTTTTTCAGCAAGTCTGGCATTGTAACATCTGCAACTGGTTTCCTTGGCACAGGCAAAAAAGTTATAACCACAAAGGCCATTTCGCCAGTGTCTTTTTGAGACAATCATGAGAAAAGATCTTGAAAGCATTTACTGAGTGGAGTTTTGGTTTGTCAAAAGAGACTAAACTTTTACTACTGAGAATTTGGAAATCCTGATGGATTTGGAAATCCTTTGAAAATCCTCTGTCACTGAAGCACTGAATGATAAAATACTATGTGGACACATAGAATTGAATCATAGAATCATAGAATTGTCCAGGCCAGAAGGGACCTCCAAAGGTCATCTAGTCCGACCTCCCCACAGTCAGCAGGGACACCCCCAACTAGACCAGGTTGCCCAGGGCCTCATCGAGCCTCTTCTTGAATATCTCCAGGGATGGGGCCTCAACCACCTCCCTGGGCAACCTGTTCCAGTGCTCCACCACCCTCACAGTAAAGAACCCTCTCCTAATCTCCAATCTAAATCTGCTCCCCTCCAGCTTAAAGCCATTGTCCCTCGTCCTGTCACTGCAGGCCTTTCTAAACAGGCTCTCCCCAGCCTTTCTGTAGCCCACTTTAGGGACTGGAAGGCTGCTATTAGGTCTCCCCAGAGCCTCCTCTTCTTCAGGCTGAACAACCCCAGCTCCCTCAGCCTGTCCTCATAGCAGAGGTGCTCCAACCCCCTGATCATCCTCGTGGCCCTCCTCTGGACCTGCTCCATCAGGTCCACATCTTTCCTATATTGAGGGCTCCAGACCTGCACACAATACTCCAGGTGAGGTCTTGGTGTCATCTGCAAACTTACTGACAGTGCCTTTAATCCCTCTGTCTATATCATTGATATAAATGTTAAACAGTATCGGTCCCAGCACAGACCCTTGAGGGACACCACTTGTCACTGCTCTCCATCTGGACTTCACATAAAGTGAAGTGCTTCAAGAGTGAAAGCAGAAAAACAACCAATAAAAAATTTAACTTTCATTGCATATATTGCAAAAGCAATTTTCATTTTCTCATGTGGTCGATTGACCCTGGCTGCCCACCAAAGCTCTGTCACTCCTCTCCTCAGCTGGACAGGGGATCGAAAATATAATGAGAAGCTGGTGGGTCGAGATAAGGACAGAGAGAGCTCACTCACCAATTAATATCACAGACACAACAGACATAATAATGAGAAATAAAATCAAATCTTAAAACACCATCCTCCCACCCCTCTCTTCTTCCTGGGCTCAACTTCACTCCCAATTTCTCTGTCTCCTTCCCCTGAGTGGTGCAGGAGGATGGGGAATGGGAATTGTGGTCAATTCATCACACTTTGTCTCTGCGGTTCCTTCCTCCTCAGGAGAGGACTCCTCACTCCCCTTCTTCTGCTCCAGCATGGGGTGCCTCCCATGGGAGACAGTTCTCCGTGAACTTCTCCAAGGTGAGTTCTCCCCATGGGTCTGCAGCTCTTCACAAAGAGCTCCAGTGTGGGTCCTTTCCACAGGGTGCAGTCCTTCAGGAACAGACTACTCCAGCATTGGTCCCCCATGGGGTCACAAGTCCTGCCAGCAAACCTGCTCCACTTTGAGCTTCTCTCTCTCCACAGGGCCACAGGTCCTGCCAGGAGCCTGCTCGTCAGGAGCACAGACTTCCCACATGGTCACAGACTGCTTTGGGCACCTGCCTGCTCTGGCATGGGGTCCTCCACAGGCTGTAGGTGGATATCTGCTCCACTGTGAACCTCCATGGGCTGCAGGGGGACAGCCTGCCTCCCCATGGTCTTCACTATGGGCTCCAGGGAAATCTCTGCTCTGACACCTGGAGCAACTCCTCCCCCTCCTTCTTCACTGACCTTGGTGTCTGCAGAGTTGTGTGTCTCACATTCTCATTCCTCTCCTCCGGCTGTTGCATTTGCCCAGGTTGTGCAGCAATTTTTTCCCCTTCTTAACTATATTATCCCAGAGGTGCTACCACCATCACTGATGGGCTCAGCCTTGACCAGCAACAGGTCTGTGTTGAAGCCAGCTGGCATTGGCTCGCTCAGACGTGGGAGAAGCTTCTAGCAGCTTCTTACAGAAGCCACCCCTGCCGCCCCCCACTACCAAAACCTTGCCATGCAAACCCAATACATATTGGAACAATTTTTCTCCTGGATTTTCCTTCCACTTGAATGTATATTCTCAGTCATGCCTTCCAATAGTAAAATAAAGTGAGTGCTTTTTCTTCTAGTTTCAATCCAGCTTTCCCATGTGCTTGAATGTACCCTAGAAAGGTCAAAGAAAGTGGTTTATCTGTGATTCTTAAATGAATGTGAAGAGTAGTGGAACAAATAGGTAACGTTAGCTCTGTTCTTAAAATTGTGTACAAAATAACTAATCCTTCTCCCATCTCACAAAAGCAACAAATTGTAAATACTTTTTTTATTTATTGAAAGGTGACAGCATACTAGCTGTTGTGTGAACAAGACTTTCAGCTCATAATCTTTTGCTGAGGGCAGGTACTGACCTTCAAAATATGCAAAAGGACTGTTTGCTCACTTCTTGACTGCAGGAGCACTTTTTTTGCTGGAAATGAACAATGGAGTTTAAATGTATGTTGTGGGAAAACCAGGAAATCTCCATGCTCCAAAATATGACCAAAATAATGTGGGTGTGATGGCTTTGCACAGATGTTCACAGCTGAAGTAAGTTTTTGGGTTCTTCCCAGCCCAGTAGGATAGAGTGTTTGATGTACTTCAGTAGCTGCCTTCCAAACTGTAGTAAAGGTTTGAAAGCTCGATTAAATTCAAGTGTTATTTATTCACAGATTTTTTTAAAAAAATCCTAGTCGGTAATTAGCAGCAATATTGTGAAGATTGAAGGTTTTCTGTTGCCTATGGTAATGTTGTAAGTGGTATCACATTGAATGCAGAACGACATGTTCTTAGATTACAAATGGGCTTAGTATATAGCAGATATAATGCTATACCCATTGTCTGTGACATATAAGAGAAGAAAAAAACTGAAAAGGGTGCTTAGCTGCATCATAAAAGTCTTGGATACATGGGAAGAACTATAGTCAGCGAAATAATGTGGGGTCCCACATGTTTGTAGAACTTCGTGGACACTGAGGTTATAAAATGCTCGCATATTTCTTAGCCTAAAAATGCTAACAATGGTTTTTTAATTTGTATTTGAGTAAATATGTATTGTATTATTAAAAAAAAGGGGATTCACAGACAAAAGCAGAGCGCGGTAACTGTGAATTGAGTAACCCAAAGGACCATATGGAGTATAGTATTAGCTAATTCACTCATTCAGACCCCATCAGACCCTCTGTTTTAGCAGCTGCCATTTATTTTCCTCACATTGTCATGTTTTGCAGCAGTCCAGTTGCTATGAGTAAGAGTATCCTCACAACGTAGAAATATATTCTTTTAATTTTTTTAATGTTATAAAGTTAACTAGAGAAAAAGACTTTCCTGTTTGTAAAAATTATTTTCTTGGCAAACAAGGTTGCTAAAATTTATGCAGAATAAATGTTCTCTGATATTCACTCTGAAAGAAACTTGGATGGTGACTCCAAGTGTTACAGATCAATGTAATTGCAACGACTCAGACAACAGTTATAGGAGATGATTGCTAGAATAGTCACATGGGTTCCTTTTGATTTTCTGGAGATTTATTCCTCCATATTTTGGGGGAGATAAAATTATTTTTAAAATTGGTGTCCTGATCTTCAGCATCTTCACCATTGCAATATCTCTTAGTCTGACAAAGTGACAAAGACCTTAGACCTGGAGGAGTTTGGAATAAAAAAAAGCAAAGAAGTGCGGGAGCAAGGGCAGAGGAGGGCAACGAAGTTGGTGAAGGGCCTGGAAGACAAATCATATGAGGAACGGCTGAGGGAGCTAGGCCTGTTTAGTATGAGGAAGAGGAGGCTGAGGGGAGACCTCATCACTCTCCACAACTACTTGAGAGGACGCTGTAGAGAGGTTGGTGCTGGTCTCTTCTCCCAGGTAATTAACGACAGAACAAGAGGGAACGGCTTCAAGCTCCAACAGGGTAGGTTTAGACTGAACACTAGGAAGGAATTTTTCACAGAGAGAGTGATCAGGCATTGGAATAGGCTGCCCAGGGAGGGGGGTGAGTCACCATCCCTGGATGTGTGTAAGAGCCGTTTAGATGGGGTACTGAGGGATATGGTGTAGGGGAGGACTTTGTAGAGTAGGGTAGATGGTTGGACTCAATGATCCCAAGGGTCTCTTCCAACCTGAACAATTCTATGATTCTATGAAAATAAAAGTAACATATTTGTTCACGCCATTTTACTACTCTTTCTGCCAGTTTGAGAAAATTTGAATCTTACTTCAAAGCTTGTGTTAGAAGTGGTGCCAAAAATAACCCTCTGTAATGTACCTATTTGTTTAATCAGAGGGCTCAAGGTCATCCCATCCCATTCTGTTTGTGATTCCTGTTTTGACTGCCGTTGTCTCCAGCAAACATGCACAGAAGAAGAAAATGGTTTTACCAAAAGATAACCATGTTTTTGTTTTTCTTTTTTTTTTACTTCATCTGATTTAAGCTGGAGGAATGGGAGAGACTGTTTTCTTCCACTTCACTCTTTCTTCTTTGTTTTTTTTTATTTCTTTGAAAGGGTTGCTGTGACTGTTGTGTAAATAAGTACTAAAGACATTACTGTGGGCAGCACAAGAGAGACAGACTGACACGGATCTCATGTTTTTCCAGATGAGGATAGGCATTCACTCAGGATCAGTGCTGGCCGGTGTCGTTGGTGTAAGAATGCCACGTTATTGCCTCTTTGGGAACAATGTCACCCTTGCAAGCAAGTTCGAGTCAGGAAGTCACCCACGCCGCATCAATGTCAGTCCAACCACATATCAGTAAGTCTTCTTAGCCTTTTTGTACTATTTTTATTTCCACCTGTTTTGAGTTTGATTTTGGAACATGCTTTATCTTCAACACATGAATTTCCACAGAAAGTTGGCAGGGCACCAGAACAACTGGAAAAAGGTGTTGCATGGGGTTGTCAGTCTTTCATTTGCCATCTTCATGTGCAAAGAACTCAAGCAGTGGAGGCAAGGAAGCACAACCATTCCTGCCTGAAATAATGTGCAACAGAAGAAGTGGGATATGTCTCCCATACCACCATAATTTTTTTTGCACTATTACAGCTTTAGGCACGGATTTGGGTTCCACCCACTAGAAACAGTTGATGACGAGAAGAACATTCCCACCGGCTCATTAGAAAGTCTTTAATTTTGCCGGCAAGACCAAGCTTTCAAAGAGTTTTTATACTTTCTTGAAGACAAAATTTCTTGTTTAGCATTGTAAAGAGACACTTGATAGAAGCATTTTCTTAATGTAAGAAAAAAGATTTAAAACGGCAAAGCATTATCCTTAGCTCTTTGAAGAAATTATGCAAATAGAGAGAAGGCTTGATTAAATCTGGTTAGGAGGAACAGCTCCTAAATTAAGAAGGTGTTCCTTACTTTTCAAATTTGACAGCTTGACTATTAGAATTTCTGCTGCTTGGATTACTACTGATGTAGTCACTTTTTTGGCAGATCTGTCTTTTTCCAACATTCTGTATCTGAAGTAATTTTCTGAAGTACAGTTTTGGGACTGTTTCTCTGTGGTTAATCTATATGGAATTGCTCAAACATAACTAGTTTGCTTTCTTTCTTTTTTTTTTTTTTTACAGAACTGTGAATCTTAATATTTATTTTTTCCCCATACCTATCTATGTAAATTAAAATTTAAAATGGAAATTCTTCATCCAAGAATTAAAACACCTAATAAGCTAAAATATAAATCAGACAGAAGATAAAGTTTAAAAATAATTAAAACTAGTGAATAAAATGGCATTCATCTGAAGAGCCCATTCACTCCAGATCAGATTTACAGAATAGAGCAAGTGTAACTAATTGAACAAGAGGCAGAAAAACTAGGTAGACTTTTGATCATAAAGTGCACAGAAGCAGGTTCATACAGTTGTCTAGTAACATGCACAAAAAACACAGACCCAACCTACTATCAAGTATAGAAAAATTTGTTCATTCAAATAAAAAGAAATTCGGTGAATACAGAGGAAATTGCTGTTTGGAACTTGGTGTCACTTTAAAGCAAATTGTCTTTGGGACCTTTCAGGTACAATATTCTAGTGGTTTTGGTTCCTGGTCTTCCACCGTGGGATAGGAGAAACCCTCTAAGACATTGTTAATATTTTTATTATTTAAAAAGCAGTGTTTTCCAAAGTAGGTAAGTCTGCAATAAGTATGAACATAACAGATTTTTCAATTAATTAAAACTACTGGCATTTGAAAATTCTGATACAAGTTCTGTGCTTATGGAGGGTACAGATGCTGGAAGCATGTCTGACACTTACCAGCTTTCGTTTTACAGTACAGATTATGCATTAGAAAGCATCATCAGCGTTCAAATTATAATCACACTCTAGAATGCCTATTATTGGTTTCAGATGTTTCCCTGTGAGCCCGTAATCTGCCTATGCAAGATTCAGAGTCTAAAATTATAAGATGTGGTGTTGCCTAGCAGCAGCAGTGAACCTGGGGCAGCCTTGCTCCAGTTACACCTCCTGGGCAAAGCTCTGCAGCGTGAAACAGAACCTTTTACAAAGGTGGCCTTTGAGTCTGTTGAGGATAAGAGCTCACTTCTGGTCAACATATCTTGTTCCCTTGGCTCAGATCAGGTCTTTTGACTGAAAGATTACAAAGCTTCATTTCATTTGCTTTGAATCACTGAGCATTGTAAAATGAAGGCACTGGAACAGCGTTGGTAAAACTTTCAGTGAAGCCCGTGGAAGCTGGAGAGGGAGTAGAGGATCCCACACTGGTCTGTGTTTAAACTTGTGGCCAGGAAGGAATAGAAGAATAGACATTCGCTGTTCCTTTAGTAAACTGGCAAATCTAGCTCAAGGTTTACTTAATTAATCTACATTATTCTGAATTGAATAAAATTACCCTATTTTCCATACTCAGGAAGGAAGCATAATGAGATTTATGAGACTCTTCTTCAGAACCGAAGACAGATTAAATATTTTTTAATTCTTTGTTTCAGCCTTGAATAATGATGTTTATCAGATATTAATATAATATACCTACATTCATACCGTTTCCCTAATAGTATTACAATGTAATGCCTTGGGATCTCAAAACAGTTATCAAAAGCAGGTAAACATAATTGTTGCTATTTGTCAAGTAACTGTATTTAAAAATGAATTCTCTTTTCCCTCTTCTTTCCACCTCTGGTATTTTTTAGCACGTATTTCCCTTACGGAAAAGGTGCTTCTGGCATCATGCGTTGGGTACAGATACTTTCCATCATCACATGCTGGGCAATACATCTGGGACCTGGGCTTAGGCAAAGATGAACAGCCTGTATTCTACATCCTTATCTGATTTAGGAGACCAACTAAGTATACTTCCTTATTGAGCTGGGTGAGGTCACTGCTAGTTCACCTCCCTAAATTGCCCCTCAGCATTTAAAATTAAAACTATGTGTTTCTATAAACTCCTTATAGATTTTTACTTAAAATCAAATTATTTTTCCTACAGGTTATATCTATATATATGATTTTTCCAACAGGCTTTATCTATATATATATATTATTTTTTCTACAGGTTGTATCTACATCTACATCTATATCTATCTATATTATTTTTTTCTGCCTCATACGCATAAACAAATGGATTTGCTTTCCAAGAGCCTTTTCAGATTATTTTAAATTTAATTTCTGAGCATCCTCTAAAAAGTATTCCTTTTTATACTGGTCAATTCACCATGTGAGCTCTCATGAGACATATTGGTGGACAGGCAATTTAGCCATGGACAGAAAGGGAACATAGCTTATACATGGACACAAAAATTATTGTTAGTCTAATTAAACTATTAAAGTCTAGTCAAAACGCACTAGTTTATTCTTGGTTTTCTGTTCCTGGTGTCATCTGCCTCCATGAGGCTGCGCCCCCGTAGTCACTGTGATTTGTGATTATAGTCCTGGGGCCTCTGCTGTCTGCCTGGGCTTCTGCTTTGTGAAACTACATTTTTATTCGAGGTTTATAGGTAGTTTTCTCTACACAGAATAATTCCGTGTTAGATCACTGTCAATTAGTAATACATGTTACTCTGCAGTTCCGCACAGCTAAACTAAAGCTAAAACATATTTAGGCAATAGTCTGACTGCTAGACAGCTGCTAAAATTACAAAAAACTGAAGCCTGGACAAATCCAGACAAGTCCTGAGGCCAGCGCTGTTAGATCAATGCAAAGCCTGGGGCCTTTTGCTAGTGATGGCGCAGTCCTGTTCACTGAGCCTAATTCTCTAATGTCCTAGAGAGCAGAGACCCACTATTCCTTCTGCTTAGGTGGGTGAGAAATAAAAATATTAAAGGTCAGAGACAGACACTCACCATGCTGAGCTGCATGTGATATACAATATAGTGCATTAAAAATTCAAGGTTGGTGCTTTCATAATCTTATTACAATTATCTGTATGAAGGAAAATCACAAATACACAAACTTCCATATTTTAAAGAATAATAATATAGTACAATGAGAAATTAATTCCACCCAGACATTGGCTTTTTTTCCGCCTCCTGGTCTTTCTAGCATGTATGGAAGCTGAAGGAGAAATACAAAGCCACTAAAATTTCGAACCAAGTGCACTGATTTTTAGCGTTACAATAGCAAATTCATATCTTTATACAGTGTATTTTATGGGCAGCCTACCAATACTTCTAATGAGTGTCATAATAATTTATCATTTGAATTCATATGGAAACAAATGAGCTGGTGTATTTTATCAAACCAGAGGTCCAGCTGGTGAAGTGACCGACGCTTGTTGCCACATAGGTAGGGCTCAGCCATCCAGCAAGAGAGTCTTCTGATAAACCGTTAGGGAAGCCATTGATGAAAGTTTCCTGATGGTACCAATTAACTGGTGGATGTAAACAAGGTTAACTACAGTTTTTACAGTTCTTTAAGAATTAGAGCAGAAAGAACCTTTTCTTTTGTTGATAGCTATCCCTGTGAAAGGTAACATTTACGGAAGATTGACCTGGTCACTTTGCTTTTTTTGGTGCATACTACATTTAACAAGGCAGTGCGTATTCTCCTTTATTGTAGTGCATGGCATTTCTTTTAGAAATATTGTTCAAATCTTGGTCGATACAAAACTGCTTTCCTAAAATAAGTTTACATTGAAGTTCAGTTCTGAGTAGGTGCTGTTTTGATTCACATTCAGCAAATTGCCAAATCCTGTCATAAGGTGACTTTTATTTATTGTACGTGGAAGTTCATTATGCAGAAGTTAAAGTGTATCTATATGCAGAACCAAATCTGAAAAAATATTTGGCTGTTGTTAATACCTTACTTGAATATTCCATTCCTGTTACATAGTTTATTGAAGCAGCAAATACTGTAATTAGTTTCATATCTAATTAGATATGAACATATGTTTGAAGGCTATTCTATAATACATATATAATATATAATACATTTTTTTTTAATGTATCAGTTCATGGCACTGATCTCAGGAGCTGTGATGTATAGTATACCCACTGTATGTTTTGTGAAGGGCCTGAGGAAGACAGAGGGGAGCAAACTATGCAGGCAGGTGGAGATACTGTGCTTTGTTCTGGGGACTGATACTCCTGACTGGCTCCTATGGTCAGGGGACAGTGAGTGGCAAGCAAGAGGAGGAGCCTGGCACAGGATGCTCTGCATCACCACCAGGATGGTGGTGATTCTTTGCTTGCTCCTTACTGTCTGTTGGCTCTGGAAGGATTTGGCCTGACCTCATGACCTGAAGGTGGCTTTTAAGACAAGCCTGGTGTAAAGGGCAGGAGAAAAGACAGGCATCTCAAAAAGGGCTCTAGATCTGGGCCATGGCCATCAGCTCCTACTGTTTTCTTTTTAACACCATAAATGGCCTAAATAGAAAAATATCCTCACTGCTAAGCAGAGTGGATTAGCAGATAACTTATTTCTTTAGTGTATACACAAAGCTATAAGAAATGGGAGGCAATTTCTGAGCCGTGATCTCATTCTCAGCCTGAGAAACCATGTGTTGGGACCAATATATTTAAGGAATCTGTAGAACCCGTTCTGTAGGTGAATGCTAATAAGAGGCCATTTTTATCCTGATTGAAGTCTTTCTAGTAGTATTATTGCAAATATTTTATTTTCTTAAAAGTATAAATTACGTGGGATAGAATATGATCATAAGTAGCTTCCATTAGCATTTGGTAAAGATGATTTCCTGCCATGCTTACTTGGGAGCTGAAATGTTATCTCAGTAAAGGTCGGCTAGACAATTTCTGAGGGTGAAAGGCTGATTCAAATGGTGTGCCTAATAGAGGGATGTGGAGTCTGTCAAAGGCTCCAAAAGTACTAATTGGCTAGTCACCCATCACTCCTGGCACCTTGATACTCTAAGAGCGTTTCATCACCACCAAGTTACAATTCACAAAACAGGTGAAAATAAGCATTTAATTAATATCTTGCACTTTTTTTTCTGAGCAAAATAGTGTGAAATATCAGCTAAACTCGGTCCCAGCCCTAGACTGAATCAAAGAAAAAAAAAATATATATTTTAGAGTTTCAGACTTGTATGTCTGTCATTACAATTAGATAATGTTAGGCTCTCAAAAGGACCCCACTGACTTTTTGCAAGGCCAGATGCTCCATAGTGAATAGTCAGTTTGGGGAAGAGTGACTGCAGTGAAAGCTTACAGATTTAGCTCAGAAAGTTCTAAGAGTTCAGCTGTTGCTTGCAGAAATCTTGTTTGGGAAGCAGTGTAGAGTTATTTCAGCCTGTAGTTTTAAAACACAAAATATTTACCACAAGCATTGCAGAGATGAAAAGAAAGAGGCTTCTCTGTAGAGGCCTCTGCAAACTCTTAGGCAATTTAGAAAAGATTACAGTATTTTGATCATAAAATTGTCAGTCTGGAAAATAGATTATGACATTCAAACCGCATGCTAAACAAAGACCACCACAGAAGTTCAAAGGCAAAAACATTGTTGGATTTATAGCCAACTGATTATTTAAAAGCCTGGAAGAAAATTCCTTTATATTTCAATGAGCTCACACAGAATGTCTCAGCCAAAATGCACAAAAAATATTCAGTAAAGGAAGTGCCATTTCATGTGCTGAGAATCCTGGAAAATTCTCCTGGCAACAGGATTCATTAATTCATTTACTTCCCAGAAATCAGTTTTAGAGACACTAAATAAACAACCTATTACAAAATCCACTGAAGCTAATAAAGTTTATTATGTTTTTGAGCTTCAAATTGATTGAGAGAAAGAATAAATATCTTGGGAGGGGAAAAGATGAAGACTGCTGCTTTCATATATTCAACTGTGCTCGGAACTCAAAACTGAGTTACCTCAAAACTGCTCTTATCAACACTGCAAGGGACTGAATAGCCCTAGCTTAATATACTGGAAACAAAAAGAAAATGTATAGAGTTATTTTCTTTATAAGTCCAGCTAGTTTCACGGAAGATACTTAATAAAGAGGCCCTAAATTTTCAGATCTAGCCAGACAGAGATTTCTCCACTATGGAGGATAGAGCAAAAGGCAGTATAGTCATGTCTGTGATATTGTACCACTTGTGTGACCGTGCCTGGAGGATGGCTTCATGGTTCCCATAAACCTGGATCCCATTTTGACCACAACCAGGTGGCCCAGATTAAACCCATGGGTGCTTCTGATGAATACTGTCAGGTTTGATTCTGATTTAGGTTGAAGCTGGATTTGCTGTGTTTGAACCTAATTCATGAAATACAATACTACTGAGTATCAGAAGGGCACAAACTGACCACCCTGCTTCTACCTGTGAGAGCTCCCAAGCACTGTCCCCTTCATACCTACTTTCCAGCAGGAGACCTCATGGTAATCGTCACTCTGAAATATTCATTTCTGCACAACTGGCCAGATTGGAGAGTTTTAAGTGAGCCAAAAGATACATTATGGATAATGGTTATTATGAATTTGGTTCCCTTCCTGGTACATGACTTTCTGAATGCTGACACTGATTTTCAGATAATGTGTTTATTTGGGCCATCTCCTCAGCTAATCTCAGTTAACAGAGCTCCTTGAAGTTGATGATGCTAAGTTAATACATATCAGTTGAGGACCCTAGCTTAGGATTTTTTTTGATGTTATTTGTTTGGGATCATGAAGGATCAATCTCTTTCAAAGAGGTGTTTCTGGACTGTGTTTTATAGACTTTTATTTCCCTCTGTTTTGTTTTTTTTTTTTCCTAGGCTTTTGAAAAAGGAAGAAAATTTTATTTTTATCCCTCGTTCCCGTGAAGAGCTTCCAGAAAACTTTCCAAAGGAAATTCCTGGGATCTGTTACTTCCTCGAGGTCAAAAGTGGTCAGAAGCCGCCAAAACCCTCCATCACGTCTGCCAGAGTGAGAAAGGTTTCTTACAACATTGGCACCATGTTCCTCCGGGAGACTAGCCTATGAGGCCTGCTGCAGATCAAAGACTCGTCAAAAAAGCACAAGCCCAGAACTGGGTCATGACAGGGGAGTTGGAGGTTCTTTCTATTTCACTGCCTTGTTCTGAACAAGCAGTAAAAGCTCCATGTAATATCAGGCAATAATCATTTTAAAAGGTGGGTGACTGCTGTCAGTAAACAAAGTGGAGATAGGGAAAAAAAATTAAACAACGTACTTCCACTTCCAGAGGAATTTCTTTTATACACTTCAGTCTGGCCCCTCTATGACAAACAAAACAAAAGAAAACAAAAGAAAACCCCAACTCTCAAATTAGAGGTTGGTTTTGTTTTGTGCAGAAAGGATGATGGTTCTCTGTAGATTTGCACCAGCTAAGCAGAATTGAGAGTCAGTTCTGATTATGCATTCCTGCATTTAATGTGTTCTTCAGTGAGGTAATGATGTTTTTTAACTTTATGAACAAACATTTCATACGTATACTGTAGACCTGTTGTAACCTTCCTGGCAGGAGGAATTATAATTCAATACAAATATTGTAGGAATTTTACCTATTTTTATACATATTTCACTTTCTGGATAATTACATTCCACATACTGTAAGCTGAATGAGTTTAGACAGCTTTTCAGAAGCAGCTACGTATATTTCATATATTCTACCTATCAAACCTTATTGTTATACAAATGGGAAGAGTCATTTTTTGACTTTTTCGGCAACAAAAATATCAGTATTTTATGGGAAAAAAACCACTTTGGTAAATCTCTTTACCTGATGTTTATGCTAAAGCTTTAGATGAGCATTGTCTTGCTTATAGAAAAAAATGTTCAATATTTGTCCTACAGTGCTGTATTTCCAATCCTTCCAGGACAATGCAAAGTGCAGAAGATCAATGTGTTGACAAACAGAAAAGTTCTGTTCAATGGGGCTTGTTTCTCACTAAATTATCAGTCAAACTGACTTTTGGTAGGAGTCCTGGACTTTTTAAAAAAAATTATCTTGTGAAAACTTATTCTGAGGAATTCCAGTAGACACTAGAAGCTCTCTGGATACTGGTTATCTTCATTTTTTTTTAATAGGATCTGTGCTCCTACATCGGTTCAATTGTTGAAAATACTATCTTTTATTAATGATGCTCATCTGGAAATTTCCTCTATTTCTGGATTGGCTGGAAGGTCCCCTGCTTTATCTAATGTAGACCAAAAAAAACACTTGAAAGGTGAATGCAATACTTTCCCAGGTTTAATGCAAATGGCAGTTCAAGATTTAGATTAGTCCATGTCACTTAAAAGAAAAAAAAAGGCTGATTTTTTGCTGTTGAAAATTAATATAGCTTTATTGTCTTCAATTAATCCAATTGAAACAAGATGTGGATCTGTCCCCTAATAGGCACATTTTCAGGCATTGTTTATTTCTCAGGTTTTCCTTTTCAAAGATAATGGCAGTCAGTTTTGCTCTGCAGGTGTACTTCCTTTACAGTCATATTGAAGAGGGCCAAAGTTGTTCTGCTCTTGCAGATTGTTGGTTAACACTTGTGCAGTGATTCTGAAGTGGCTTAGTTGTATGTGGGTCTGATCAAAGCTCACTGAAATCAAGGAAGTGTCTCAACAGTACTGGGAGGTGTGAGAAGCTCTGCATTCTGATAAGCCAGACCAGAAATTAGAGTTTACTTTTGTATTTATACAAAACTCGAGGCATTTTTTGAAAATAAGTATATAACTTTCACTACGTGTCCAAATTATCCAGTTAGATCTTTCTGTGGCAGAAATGACAGTTCTGTATTTCTCCCCTTTGACCTGTAGCCCATGTTAGAGTGGGAACAAGTCAGCATGGCACTGCTAGCCTGTGCTGAACATGTATCAACCTTCCTTTCCAGGAAGCCTTTCTGGATGAGAAAGGACTATTTTGAACCTATACAGCCTTCAGCATGTAGAGGGCATCTGAACTTATTATGCAGGTGTGGTTTTTTTCTTGCGTGAAGAGAGTAGAGGCATGGGAATTAGCCCAGAAATTTACTTAAATGGAAATTCCCTCATGTTCTAGAGGAACACTGATGTTAAAGATTTGTTCCATTAGAATTTGAGCATCCTTAGGATTGGAGGTGTTAATCTTTTATCTACCTTGTTAAACAGCATCTGCAGTTCTACTGCCTATTTAAAAAATGACTTAACAAAAACTGCTTTAGCTTGAGGTTACAGAATTTCCATCCAAACTACAGGTCTGAGAATTTTCTCCATAGGATGACAACTTTTAGCCTATAGCCATTATTTTGCACATACACAGGATTTAGCACGCATCCTTTTTACTGGCACACTAGTGACAGCTGCAAGAATCATAAATGAAGCAAAGTTCACATTTCCCAGCTGGAAGAGGAACACCGCTTCCCAGCTAATAAAGCAGTGGGTTTGATGTAATTTCCTTGCTCCCTAGAATGAAAATTTTTCAAATAGGTATCAATAGATTGAAATTTCATTCTGACTTCAGTGGCACATCCTCATTGTTCATTAGGTGCTGATGTCAGGGTACCAATCTCTCTGGCCAGACTCTTTTTCTCTTCTTACCACCTGTAGTCTTGTGTGAGGAGAACAAACAGAGGTCGAGACCAAAAGCAAGTAGCTCAATAACTTGTCTCTCACAACTGCCAAGCGAAAATGTCTAGGTTAAGTCTGTGGCTGATCTTGGTAGATCTATGGAAACCTTTTCATGAGAAATGATAGATAAATGCTAATTCTACTAGCAAATTGGAGAAGCAATCTAAAAAAATTTGTATCTCCATCCTCATCCTCTCAAGAAGGGTCTATTCTATAGGGAAATTTATAATCACAGAGATCACTGCAAAAATTGAAAATTGGTATCGGCATCACCATGGAGACAATGGCAGTGTTTGAAAATAAATCATCTACCTCCCCAAATTAGAGTAGATTTACTGTATAAGAATATACAGTCTCTGCTTTTTTAAGTTTGTGTAAAGGTAGCGTGTCCAGAACTTCAGCACTGATGCTAAGTATTGTGCTATTGGTTTCTGTGTTAGGACATGGGAAGTTAAAAAAGTGTGGGCTTCCTAGGGACATTTTTCTATCTCAGTGTGAGAAAAATGTAAAGCAAACTGTCATCACTCTAGCTTAACAGTTGCATCCACTGCCTTTACTATTAGGTTGAAATTTTATTTTCTTGGACACCTTTAAGAAGTGAAATGAAATTTATTATCAAGGTTGATGCTGTGAAGTCAATTAGATAGTAGTCAGACTCAACATCTTTTCAGCGACGCTTCCCTTTAGTGATAAGGAAAACTTTCTCATTTGCCTGGCATTGTCTTCATAAATAAAAAGGTTCTCAGAATTTTTATAGGCCTTAGGTATATGTATATACACCACCTTGGGATGATGAGATGGAGAGGTTAGAGGTACTGAAATGGATGCAGAAATAATACACCATAGTTGGGGTTTTCTTCTAATATTTTCCTTCCGATAAAACAGATGATCTTTTGTTCCTTTGATTAAGAATTTTTCATGCAGCTGCAAGTCTTGAGTTTCTGTATGAAACAAATCCACCCTCTCTGAAGACAGAGGAAGGAGATCGACTGTTACCTGTACAAAAAGAAGGATGATTGATGTAAGGACCCTGGCTGGGACCATCAGTCCCTTTGCTGCAACCTTGTTCTGTGCAGCTTCCCAGGCTCAGAGGGACCATGGAATGACCACAGAGGCAAACCCAGTGGCCAACTTATTGTACAAAAGTCATGAGGCCTAAGTAAACAGAGGCAACAGTCATTACCCCAGAGCACTTTGTACAGATCTTCTGTCAGATTTTTGCATCTTCTTGAATCTCCCCATTATGCGGGCTCTTCTGTGATGTGATGCATAGAGGTCAGGAACTCAGAGCAAAAAGGAAATAGTGATGGAAGTGGTAGAATGGTGGATAAATTTTGTTTTGCATCACTCTAGTAATATCTGCCATCCAAATACAAAAGCCTCTGCATGGGAGAATTAGCGCTAAGCCAGGACTCTCAAAGTGTGGGTTTCTTGCAGGATCCCACAGGATATTTCTTTAATTCCAAAGAGCCAATAGTCATTAACTGTGGTTGTGGTTTTGGCTTAACTGCTCATTCCCACATCCAGTTTCAGATCTGAGTCTGTTTGGAAAGGCGTTTTGGAGCCTGGAAACATGCCTCTGCAAACAGAAAACCAAAGCCTTTCAAACCTTGGAAATCTTGTATGGGAATTTCCTATTCTGAAGAAGAAATCCTTGTAGTTGAGTCACTTGCAGGTCCTACTGCAGTTCACGTGTGTGCATGTGCCATTCCACAGTGCGATCTCCTCCTGTGCTTACACCCAACAGTGCTATCAGGTATATAACCACCTTTTCTCTGTTTTCCTTCTTTTTTTTTTTTCTGTATAAAGCAGGCAGCGCAGAATCTTGACTTATTACATGCATTTAAAAGTATAGCACTGCACAGAGGTTTAAGCTCTGCTAACCAGGTTCACGTTGTTTATTTCTGCCTCTGAATAGATCCTTCTCCCAGACAATTTAAAAATGAAGGGAAAAAAACCCCACCCAAAACTGTTATGTTGAATTTCAAATGAGTATGAAACCAGCTGTGGGACAAGTTTAACTGCTGAACAGCCTTCAGGTTCTTCAGCTGCCACAAGCTGTCACACATGCCTGCTTCATGCAAACTCTCCTGCCAAGAAGCCTGTAATCCAACAGCAGCATCACAAATTTATGGCATTTTCTGTGTTTTCCAGTCTCAGGACACTACCTCACCTCTGCTGAGCACTCAGAGCTCAGGGAGGAGAGCTAAGTCCCTGTCCTAATGCAGTCTTAGAGCTTCTGGCTTCTTTTTTTGGGTTCTGTCTGATGTTTTGCAAAATCATACAAGTGTAATATTGGAAATAGCAACATGCTGAAATTAGCAACAAAACAAGAAGCATAAAAATCTTGTCAAACTTAGAAACAGTTGGTTCCCTTCCTTCAAGGTAATATTCATAGCTCTTTACTGGAATTGAGGGTGCCAGTGACAGCAGAGGCTGTGGATGAACTGAAGATGCTGAGTGTGCAGGAGACTCTACAGGCATGAGTTGATCAGCTGCTGCTGCTGTTCGTAATTCCATCACCTTGCATGCTGTCTCCTGCTCTAGGTCGTACTTCTGCTCTTCAAAAGACTTCTGTTTTCCTTCCTTCAGCACGCTGCATGTGACATAGACAGTGAGTAATTCCTGTTATTCTTATTTGCATCTGTTGTTGACATGGCT